TCACCCCCCTCTCTCTCTCCCTCTCTCCCTGTCTCTCCCCCCTCCCCCTCCCTCCCTCTCTCTTTCTCACTCTCTCCCTCTTTCTCTCTCTTCCTCCCTTTATCTTATTTACATTCTCGTTCCATATTTTAAATTAATAGATAAAAAGTTTCTGTGTATGTCATGCATATAAAATCTTGATTTATACAAATTTTATATTTTTACATTTCTAATCTAATAAGATATAAATTTTAACTTCGTTTTAGTTACCTTTATTAGGTAATATCAAATTTTTTCGCACCGAACCACCAGTGGTTTTACCGGACGCCGCTACGTAGCGCCACTGGCAGATGCGTTTCCAATATGGCCGCCGGCGCTCAGTCAGTTCACCGTCAGAACGGAACCGATCGATCTTTCCACGGTATCGAAGAACGTATGTCACTTTTCGCTTCCTGGAGAACCGATTTGTGACTCTGAGATACGCCGATCTCTTTCGTACAGTCGACGAAAATCGTCATTCTCTTCCAACTGCACGCCGCGAGACCATCGAGATGAGCAACGTACCAACAGGTGAGATCATCAACTTTGTCACCCACTCATACTGGATCGAGAACTCATCACGATTATTTGTGATATATTGTTTTATGATCAAAACGAGACACGTCGTTAATTTCTGTTCGAGAATTAGCTGGCAAAAGTTAGTTCAGGAATGACCGTAACAGAAATTCAGCCAATCGAATTCTAAATTTCTATGATTATGTGCCACCCGCTATCTTGACGTTTTCAGTAACGACCTTGTGAACTCTCATCCGTGCCTCTGTGTGCGCATGTTTACGGATGTGTACGGATGTGTGCGACCGGCGACTCGCCACAAATTTCTGACGAGTCGGTATTTGTATTTTTTTTGTGCTGCACTCGTTAGCGTCTCATACTTGGAGCGAAGTTTTTTACCCGTATTCATAGTCAGACCTCGTACTTAAGGCTTCCTTAAATTTATCTTTAGATGTTCAGTAACCAATGAAATAATTCGTAGAGCATCTACAGATAAATTTAAGGAAGCCTTTAATATAAGGCCTGACTATGAATACAGGCCTTTTATCATGAAATAGATAACCATGCTATAACTTCAATAATAACGGATTTTTTCCCGAACTTTTTGGTAAAATGCGGTATATAGATACAAGTAATCTATTTACGTTTAATGAACATTTAAAAAACAT